TTCCCTTTTACACATTAAAACAGAATGGCTCTCCCTTTTCCCCCCCCCCCCCCGCCCCTGCACTGAACCCTAGGCTTTATAGATGCCAGCTAAGCCACTGAGCTCCTCTTCCCAAGCTCTTATGTTGATTTTTTTAAAAGTAAAATTGTATGCGTGAACCAAGTATGTAATCTATACACTTATTTCCTGGTCACCACAGCTGCAGAATACTCATGAACATCAGGTCATACCCTCTAAATGCCATCATCCAAGTCACTGGTGACATCCATGTTCTAAATCCATTGGTTAGCTAAGTGCTCAGTCCAGCCACCCACCCTCCTGTTAAACAGTATCTTGTTTCCTTCTCCCCGAAAATGGTCCTCCTACTTCTCTCCCCACCCCTTCCTCTAGCCGGACTCTGAGCCTGACAGAGCCAGGACTCCTGCCATAATCTCCTCCTTGCCAGTCCACTTCTGATTCTCAGATTCCTGAGTTCCAAGGTCACCTGTTCATTGATGACCCCTGCCTTTTCCCCTCTAGCCCAGATTTGTCTGAGTCTCCAGACCCACACACTCACCAACTGTTACCTTCTTGTGCCAAACACAACTCCCCTAAAACAAAACTCTCCAACCTCCTTTCCTATCCCCGCTTTCCCTAAGCCTGCTACCCTCTTTGTCATCAGAAGTAAGCTTGAGGCCACCATAGGCTACACAGGGAGCTCAGGGTCAGCCTGGGTTCACGTACTGAAGTTCTACTTTAAAAACAAATGATGAGGGATGAAGAGATGGTGCAGAGGTCAAAATATTTGCTGCTCTTATGGAGGACCCAGGCTTGGTTCCCAGCATCCACAATGGCAGTTTACAAACATCTATAATCCAGTTCCAGGGGATCCAATCCCCTCTTCTAGCCCCCATGGGCACCAGACACTCACATGGTACACATACATATACACATACCTATAAATCACTCACATACATAATTTGTTTTTTGAGACAGGGTTTCTCTGGCTGTCCTGAACTCACTCTGTAGACCATGTTGGTCTCGAACTCACAGAGACCTGCCCCTGCCTCTGCCTCCTTGGTATTGGGATTAAAGGTGTGTGCTGCTGCCACTGCCATCATCACCCAGCCAAGAAGGCACACATAAAAATAATAAAAAATTTAAAAATCTTTATAAAAAGCAAAAAAGACACTGTAGTGGGTTCACTGCTCTAAAATCTTAGATTGTAGGTTTGGAGATTTAGCTCAATGGTAGAACGCTTGCCAAGCAAGTCCAGAGCCCTAGCTGGGTTTTGTCCTCATCTGGCAGGGGTTGGGGCAGGAGAGGGGGGGTGACAAAAAAGACAAAAACAAACAAACAGAAAACCCAAACAACCCCCCCCAAAAAACCCAAGCCCCAAACCACCCAAAGATAAAGTAAAATATGAGCCTGTGCCCCAACAGCTTTCACGTGACTCACCTGCATTCTGGGGTGCCCAGCCCCAGGCCCCACCTTCCCCACAGGACTCACTCTCGTTCCTTAAGCAGCACCTTCTGGGATTCATCCAGCCGGAGCCGCAGGGCAGTCAGCTTGGAAGCATCCTCCTCTGTACTGGCTGTATCCTCCCAGGGCAGGCGGTTGCGATCCTGGCGGCCTGAGCTGGCTCGAGAGCCCCCAGCTGCCATACTGCAGGCATCCCAGCAGCCTTCAGTCTCCTCTGGTCTGCTCTTCAGCAGGCTCTCCACCAGGTCCAGCTCCTGTGGGGACCAAGGTAGGGACTGCAGCTGGCCCAGGGACTTACCCTGGCCACCATCCTCATGGTCATCTCAGGCCCTGCTCTGGAATGAGCCTGCTAAGTGACCTGGGGCAGGTGACACAGTGCTTCTTGGCCCTGGTTTCTCTTGCTGCTGCTTTATTCTCCTTCTTGGACCTCTCCCTTCACATCCTGGGAATACACTGCCAGCCACCAGGGTTTCCTATATCCTGGGCACCCAAGTATGCAAACATTGGGTGAACTACTTGGAACAGATGCTGAAGCAGGAATTCTTACTACGGCTTAGGATTCCAATTCAGGGGCAAATACAGTCACTGGGAAATTGGTGGCTCTGAGGACGTGTGAAGGACTGACCTCTCACCCTTCTGACCTCAGGTGGTCCTGGAAGGGTGCTCTGATTGCCACCTGGGACAGATGGAAACACCAGAAAGGAAGATCACAGAATATGGAGTGTCTGGGCTGGTACGCAAACTCAGACTGCAAACCTGAGGCTCCCTAAACTGTTGCTGGAGACTCCGGGGCTGTGACAACAACCAAACTAGAGGGTAAGAAGAGCATGAGGCCCAGGCCAGAGAGGAGAGTGTCTGCTAAGAGTCTCATTGCTAGGAACTGGTCTCCTGGGGACCAATGCCCAGAGCTTGCCTGTGTGGCCTGCCCTTGCACCATCATCTTGCCCCAGCCATACTATATGTTACACTCTCCCACTACCCATGCAAACACAGCAGCTGGAGAAGCAACACAGACCTTGGTTCTGAACCTCCCTGTCTCGGGGTTGCTGTAGGGACTAAGTAGATAATGTCTCTATAGGCACGGGGTGGTGGGTACAGCTACCACCGCTCCCCAGGCTCAGCAGGACTCCAGCCAGCCTACCAGCTTTTGCTACGACCATCAACTATTATGGATCATGGCACTTCCCACATGCCTCTTCTCAGCTTCAGCTTAACTAACGTCTTCAGGGGAAGTCTTTCTGACGCCCCTCCCAAAGGCCTGGCTTGGGGACCAGAGAGCCAGTTCCCTTCAGGATGAAAGAAAGAATGAAGAGTCAGCTCTACCACTCATCTAAGGCAAGTCCAAGGATTTCTCCTGTGCTTGTCGTGGAAGATTCTTTGACTTCGATGACTTCTAAGGTGTGGGAGGTGTACAGACCACCAGAATTTGGAGATCTCCAGTGTAAGGTGATCTTTACCTGGCCTCTCCACCACCTCACTAGAGACCAGATCTTTCCTAGCTGTTTTTCACTGCTCCCTCCCACCTGTACCCCTGTGCAAGCCCAGCCCGAAAGCCAGCCTTCTTCCAATCTGTGTAGCTGGGCGCACCTGGCTGCCAGGCGGCCTCTCCGCCCCGATGTCGCGCACAGGCTCATGCTCGCGCTCAGGCTCCGGGCCGTCGTGTGTCTTGTCCACCGTGCCATGCGCTCCCCGCAGCCGGGCCAGCTCACGT